TTTTGCAAAGAATAAGGTGTTTTCAGCTAGAGGAGGTCAAGAGGGTTGCTAATCCGTGGTTTCCAAGCTTGGATCTACAGTGTTGAGGTAGCAAATCGATCATTTCTCTGTTTGGTTTAAGATCCTTGAATTTTAGGGTTTTCTATACCATTTTATTGGCTTGAAATGTTGAGTATGTTGTCCCTTTGAGTGTTAGACTCTGGATCTGGACCTCTAGAGGTCCAGAGGGCCTTATCCATTCTACTTTATGTTGGTTCATGGAGGGAATGAGACTATGTTGCCATTTTAGAAGCCATTTCACCAAGGAAAGTCTTGTGTGCGTTGCATGAATGTCAAGATTGAACCTTTACGTGATTATCGTGTTTGGGAAGGTCAGATCTATAGGTTAGAGAAGCAGATCTGACCTCAGAAGGTCATTTGAGTGTTGCCATGGAAGCAACTCGCCGAGTTCATAAGTGGACTCAACGAGTCGAGTCGGGGTTGCCCCGCGATTCGTGACAGAGTAACCCGTCGAGTGAAGGGATGAATCGACGTGCCAAGTGAGGCTAGAAGGATTCAAAGGACCCGCATGGACTCGCCGAGTCGCCCATGTGCACTCGACGAGTCGGGTCAAAGTTTGACCGTTGACTTGAGTTGACCTTAGGGTTTTGGTCAAGCTGATTCAAGAGAGTTCTGGGAGGGGTAGAATGGTCTTCTACCCATCATTAGAGACGAGATGATGAGAGAGTATTGATTAGAGATGTTATTCTGTTGATAGGAGGAGGCTAGATCGGGTATCCGAGCACGGGAGATTCTCCGATACCGTACGAGGTGAGTCTTCTCACTATACTGTACCTAGAGTGGTACCTATGTGTGACCGGAAGGTCTTGTATGCTATGAGGTGTATGTGTTGTATGCTGTTATGTGATATGTATGTGTTATGTATGTTATGAACGAGAAGGAACGGAAGGTCATTATGATGTGGACCGGAAGGTCATTATGATATGGACCGGAAGGTCATGATGATATGGACCGGAAGGTCGTTACGGGTAGGACCGGAAGGTCTACCAGGGTTGTGGGACGGAAGTCCTCTGAGACACAGTGACCGGAAGGTCTTATAGCCTTGAGTGACGTATGTGCGTATGTGGTATTTTGGGGAACTCACTAAGCATTTATGCTTACAGTTGATGTGTTATCTGTTTCAGGTACTAGCGAGGATCGCGGGAAGGCGCCGACATGATCCGTACACACTCATGGAGTTTATGTCTTGAGATTCTGGGATATGTTTTGTTATGATAACATTGGATACATTATGTTTTGATATTACCTTATGAATAAAAGTATGTTTTAAAAATGAAAAATTGTTTTGGAAATTTACGTCGTTACAAAAAGGTAGTAGGTCAATGGGTTGAATGAGTCATGTGGACCGGATATATTGTGGTTTTTTACTGTTAGTTTTGTTGCTATAAAATAGGAAAACGTGGGCCTATTCTTGTTTAGTTCTATTAGGTTTTGTAGGCTATAAAAGCCTCTTGTTTCATGAATAGAAGTGCAGTCGTACTCAATCATATTTGTATCTTTTCTTCTTCTTTGTATTTCTCACGTATTAACAACAGGTGTATACTATTTGGTGCTCAAAGAAGGGGTTGAACCAACATTTGGTATCAGATCCCTAGGTTCGTGGGGTCTTCAAAAGAGGTTCTATGTGAACCTATTAGTTCAGTGACAACCGAACAAAGTTCTGTGTGAGCCGAGTTCAAAGCAAAAATATGTGTGAATAAAGATTTGAAGAGCAATCTGTGTGACTTGAAGCAAATCCGAGTTCAAAGAAAGAAATCTATGAGAATAGAGTTTTGAAGATCGATTTGTGTGAGTTGAAGCAAAGGCTATGTGTTGCATCGAATTGAATTTGTGGGTGAAACAAGAAGACAAACAACCTATGTGGTGAAGCTAATCTATGTGGAAAAGCAAGTGAACATGAAAAAAGGTCTGTGTGATCAGAAAACGTGTCTTCTGTGCACCTACAAGTGAGTGTGTGTGGGTTGAAGAAAAGAAAGGGATCGAAAAATAACTCAGATCTATGTGATCTGTTTTGGTTGGTACTTTACAATAAGAGAGGATCGAGTTAGGGATGATGCGAAAAACAAATCCCAGTGTCAAGTCTGGTTGTACCCGTGAACAGTCAAAGTATCCCATTGCAATGCCCCAAGTTAACAACTACAAACTATACAAGTTGGTCCATTATGGTGGAGTCGATCCTAGAAGCATATGGATTGTGGGAAGCGATTGACCCGGAAACAGGAAGAGTCGTCGGGGCAAAGAAAAATCTGATGGCAAGAGCATTTGTGTTTCAGACTCTACCTGAAGATATATTGCTTCAAGTGGCTAAGCATAAGAATGCAAAAGACGTGTGGGAAGCGCTTTGTGTGCGGTATTTGGGAGACGAAAAGGTTCTAAAGGCAAGACTACAAACACTTAGAACCGAGCTAGAGATGTTGAAGATGAAAGAGGGCGACACGATTAATGAATTTTTAAACAAACTTAGTGAGATTGCTACAAAATTCAAGAGTCTTGGGTCTTGTTTGGAAGATGAGATTGTGGTAAGAAAATTACTAAATTCCGTTCCTAAAAAATTCTTATAAATTATTGCATCTATCGAGCAATACTCGGAGATAGATGATATGTCACTTGAGGAAGATGTGGGGAGGTTGAAGGCATATGAAGAGAGACTCAAGCTTCTTGATGAAAATGAGAATGATCAAAGTCAAAAAATGCTTTTACTATCAAAAAAGGATTGGGAGGTGAGAACCAAGCGTGGTAACTTTAATCAAGATCAATCTGGACAAGGAAGAGGTCGAGATGACCGGTTCCAAAGCTATGAGGATCGAAGGGCGCAAGGTATGTATCGAGATAAGTGAGATATTAAATGCTATACTTGTCAAGAATATGGACATTATGCAGCTAAGTGTCCAAAGAAAGAAATATAAGAAGAAGAAGTTAATTTGATTTAAGATGATAATGAGCCAGCAACACTGCTTTGAGGAATCAGTTAACGTCAAGATTAAGAGGGTGAGTGTTGGGTAATCTTGACATGGGTGAGTCAATTTGGGTTATGGGTATGGGTAAAAGTTAGTCTATGGTTTATTTTATTTAATGTTTCAATAAAAGAGCTTTGACCAAGTTCAAATATGAGAAAACGTGTTGGCATACTTGGTCATTGTAATGTTCTTTTCTTTAGGAGTAGTGACTAGCTTTTAGGTTTTAGGTTGTTTGTTTCCCTTGAGTCAATTGTAGGCTACTTATAGCCCTTTTGCTTTTAGATTCATAAAGCATCTTTTTGAATGCAAACAAAAAGTTTCCATGTGTTTTTCTTTTCTGTTTCTCTTCTCGTGTACATCATCAAAGTTTGCTTCTTTTGTTATTTGTTCACAGGGTGCAGAAGGGGCTGAACCAATATCAGAGCAGGTTGAATATGGATAGTTTGAGAGTCGACTTTCGGAGGGAGGAGCCTTTGGCTGCAGGGAAGCGAGAGCAGTAAAAGCAGGGCACTGGTTTTGATGAGAAAAATCAGAAAGAAGACAACAATTGGAAGAAAAAAAAAGACAGAAAGAAGAGGCCAGTTGCTTGCTTACCTGAGAACGAAAGACTAAGTACCAATACAAAGAGCATACCTGATGGTGGCGAATGTCGATACATGGTTCAAAAGGAAAGGGTTTTAGGTGATGTGTGTTGAAGATCATGTAGGGTGCCCATCATTGTTTGAGCTGATCACCTCTATTGCCCATAGAGAGAGAGAGAGATAGAGAGAGATAGAGAGAGAGAAAGAGACAGAGAGACTCTTTGTAGAGAGTGAAGTAGGAAAAGGGACCCCCTGGTGTTGGGTCTTTGTGATCAGAAGAAAGACAGAAGCAACAACAAGTCTGTTGTATGTTAGCAAGCAAGAAACAAAAGAAAATAGCAAGTAGCAACAAAAATCACAGCAATGGAGAAGCTTCAAAGACCGGGTGGCACCTAGACCGAAGACCGAGGATCCGCAAAAGACCAGGCGACATCTAGACCGAGTAAAATTAGTTCGAAACCGAAAGAGACAACAAAGACCGGCGGGTTGTCTGAGAATAAAAGTAAGACCACAGGTTCACAGAAACTGACCGAACAAAGTTTTGAAACTTTGAAAAGTATGTAGTAAGAAAGCAAGTAGCAAGGGTGTTCCTTTGTATGTATCTGAACGTGATAGGCTGCAAACTTTGTGATTTTTGTGGCAAGTACACAATGAAGAAAGAGAATGTGGAAGAACAGACTTTGAGGTGATTGAGGTGATAAAGAAACAAGTCATGATCGTAAAGATTAAGGGGGGTGAATATTGGGTTTAATCTTGACAGGTTAGTTAAAGTTTTAGTTTAGTATTTGAATTAAATAAAAGGTAGTAGGTCAATTGGTTGAATGGGTCATGTGGACCAAGTATTTTGTGGTTTTTGACTGTTAGTTTTATTGCTGTAAAACAGGAAAACGTGGGCCTATTCTTGTTTAGTCATGTTAGGTTTTGTAGGCTATAAAAGCCTCTTGTTTCATGAATAGAAGTGGAGCCATATTCCGTCATAATTGTATCTTTTCTTCTTTGTATTTCTCACGTATTAACCACATGTGTATACTGTTTTGGTCATTAGCGGAGCTTTATTAGGGCTAGGGGTTGTCCCCCTCCCTGATATTTTGGTTAGAAACAGTCCTTATAGTTTCATTTTATACATTTTTGGCCCAAAAATATAAAATTTTGGCTGTGGCCCCCTCCCTTATATTTTCACTCCCGGAATCAAATGTTGAAGCTCCGCCCCTGGTTTTGGTGTTCAAGGAAAGGGCCTGATATCCTACAGAAACAATCTTTAGCAGTTGTTCTTGCCTGTGTTGTTGATTATGATGTCAGTTTCTTTCCTCTCCTTTGGTGTCTTGCTCTTCAACGTTAAACCTCTCATCTTCTAATTGATTAAGATGTCTTCGTTCCATTTGGAAGTTGGATTAAGCATCCATTAGATGTACGCCTCTCCACTTCGGATGATCTTTGGGATCTCAATGCGAAAGGCAAATTTTGAGCATATATACAAAGTCCATGATAAACGAAACCTAGAAAACACAAACAATTATTCATAGTAATGTGAAATTTATTTAGTATTTAGTATTTCTTTATTAGCATGAAAAACATTGAAAAGCATACGTTTTAACCACTATTGTGTACATCTATGTAGTTGTCCCCATTGATGAAAGAAAACAAAGTCTTGAACAAAGTTAAAGCGTTTTCACGGAAAGGTGGATACAAATGGAAGACATGTCCCTCTCCTTTGGCTTCAATTATATCAACTTGCCCGTTCCATCCACTATTCCCCAGAATATCATGATAATACCATCCTCTATCCCTCAACAAATCTTTTTCAGCCACAGAAACAAGTACCCTTCGACACCCTAACTTCGAAAGATTCGGATCTTTTGCCGGGTTTATCAACGGGTCATCCAAACTGCTAAATGATGGGTTCATCACCCGCCACAGTTTTTCCAAGATATTTATTTCCTTAACATCAGCATTCACCTCACCACCAATTAGAGTTTCTCCCCAGAAGTGTGGATCGATCAGAAGAATCCCAGAAAGCTTCACTCGATCACCAAAAGCATCCAAGTCTTTTCCTAACCCAATCCGCATCCCCATCTGGTGAGCTATGTTTCCACCGGCACTTTCCCCACCAAAGAAGAGACGTTCAAAATCAGCATAGTCATTAAGCCATGGCTCCGCACCGTTTCTATTTGCATGAGAAGCAACCCATTTGATGGCTTCCCAAGAATCATCATATTGAGTTGGATAGAGATGTTCGGGGGCTCTTCTGTAATCAACAGAAACGATGATGGTTTGTGCTTCCAAAGCAAGCCTGTTATGGAAGGGCTGGAACATAGTACTGAAGGCTGTTCCGAAAACGAAACCACCACCGTGGAAGTAAATAAGGACAGGGAGTTTATGCTCTTGGGAGATAATAGTTCCTGGCAAGTAGATCCTAGCGGAGAGGCCTGTTTCCGGTGAGATTTGGACATCTTTGGAGCGAACTCCGGTGGTGTAATCGGTTGATGGAGGGGTGATCTCTTCTCCGACTAGACGTTCAATACGGCCATTTTTATGGATAAGTATAAACGGGGAAAGGTCATGTTGTATCTCTTCAGGGTAAGATAAAGGCAATGGAGCGAAGGAGAATGCCATACTTTGTTGAAAAGGAGAGAAAATTCGGGTTTACGACAAAAAAAAAAAAAAAAAAAAAAAAGTTGTTTTAAAAAGCAGTGGATGCGTTGGTATTTATTTTCAATATTGGTGGGTTTACGAACCCAGAAGAGTCATTTTAAAAACAGTGGATGCGTTGATAAGTTTCAATATTGGAGGCTTTTCTAATTAGAAAGCAATACCTATTAATCAGAAGAAAGTAAATGGAGGGGCCAGCAAAATTTCTAATAAATGATTACTAATTGGAATTGGAATTGGTCTAACATAATGATATAAATAAAAAAATAGAATCTATTTACATTTTTAACATGTAATCAAATAAAACCGTTTATCTACCAAATAAATTAAATTATACGATATTTGCACTTCAAGTAATTGAAATTGAATTTTATGAGCCAAAATTAATCTCTGTATATTTTATAATGAATATCCTTCTTAATAAATGAAAGTTTTTTTTCCCACGTGTCAATATTTTATGAGTTTTGACACTTGTCATTTTATGGTATTTTTTAAATAAATATTATCCACTTGTCAATTTTTGGTTTGTTTCAATTTTTAAAATTAAAGTCATAATTATATATATAAAGTATTAAATATCATATATATGATATTAAATTGCGATAAATATGTTTTCTTCATTTCTTATTTTAAAGTTGTATATTAAAAAATATTTTATGTTACACTTTAATGTTTAATCTTTTTTTAAATCAATCTGTATAATACACGAGTTTCACACGTAGTTGATTAGTATAAAAGTAAAATTTGCGCAAAATAAATTTCATTGCATGATACAAATGAAACTCTTATAAGTACTATTGAATATTAAATAATAATCACAAGCATTTTTATAATATAAACACATGATGTTTAGTAAAAATAAATCATAACACGTTTTCCATTATTAAATGATTAATTTTAAAAAAAGTTATTGACATGGAAGTTTTAATATTGGCTTTAAAAACCATTTAATTTTTTTGGACTGTTAGACCATTAAACTCAAAATTTACATGTTTAAAATATCATTTTATATAAAGTTACCAGCTTTTCCAGTTAGATCGATGATGTGGAGGTACATTGACTTCTTATAGTTAAAGGTTTCCATAGCCACATTGACATATCCACATGGACTTTGACATTGAAGAACCAACATTTATCTCCCCCACCAGCACTATAAACCTCTTCCCACCACCATCACGATCCACGCAGTGCAGTATTAAAATGAAATGTCATGTACTTTTCAAGGTTTGACAGTGGACCATGGTGCCGATATTTTCATGGTTTTGGACACCATACCCCACATAGACCTTTAAATCGGAGGCAGAAATGAAGGAGGAGTACTGTCAAGCAATCGTTTTATTTTAAGGGAGATTGAATGCACACACAAAACATGCGGATCAATCGTTCTAACCTATTCATCAATTTTTAATTATGGTCCTTGTTCTTCAATCTTTAACCCACATCTGCAAATCGGTTCTAACCTACTCATCATCCTCTTTTATTTGATTCACATGATTTTTAGAGAGACGGGAACTGAAGTTGCCATGTTCTTCAATTTTTACCGGACACGAAAATATGAAGCCCGTTCATTATCTTTACACCCCAACCCCTGTTTTTTTGTTCTAATTTATTTCGTTGATGTAATATCCGAGTCTTCAAGGTATAATCTTTATTTAATTTTTATGTGAACCGGATGGCCACGACGTGGTGAAAGCATCACCACGACGTGGCATGACTCAGATCAAACGCGACTTCATTTAAGTCTCCCACGACGTGGCGTTATGTTGGACACGACGTAGGGACTGTTTTGGGCCAAACCCCCAATTTGCGGGGTTGGTGCCCTAATTAAGGGCACTAACTCCTAGGGTTGTCTCATTTGGTAGCCTCCACCCTCTAAGAAACTACCCCATGCAAACCCTAGCCCCATTATAGGAGACCTTAGCTTGTGTGGTAACTTTTGGTATTTTGAAGGAGAAGGAATCATTTTTGAAGCATTGGTCTAGCTGCAAGTCTCATCATCATCTTCTCGTTTACTTTTGGACCATTGTAAGTATCCAAGACTCAAGATTTATGATGAGCATGCTAGATCCAGTTTTTGCATACTTTTCAATTTGTTGGGTTAGGTAGAATTCCTGAAATCCATAAAGTTAGCAACTTTATGGATTGTTGAGGTCCCTTACTGGACATATGTTCCAGATCTGAAGTTTCTTGCTATTTTGGGCTTCATACATGTGATCCTTGGTGGTATTTCTTATTTTGACCTATGTTTGAGTATTAGACTTGCATTGGACATGCAAGACTGAAAAGCACCGATATTTGTGAAGTATTAGGCCTTATGAAGGGTTTTGGAAAGTTTGAAGGAATGGATTAACAGGTTAAGAGCTAAATCTATTTAGCTGATGGAACCAGTTCCCACGACGTCGCATTTTGGTTGCCACGACGTGGCGAATGAGAAGGGTGCTCGACAGTTTTGTCTTGGAGTGCCACGACGTAGCCTATGGGTCGCCACAACGTGGAGATCAGCGGAGGTTAAGTTTGACCGTTGACTTTTTGGACATTGTTGACTTTTGGTCAATTTAGAGGCTTTAGAGTGTAGACTGAGTGGGTACTTCCTTACTGTTGATTAGGTGTTTCATAGTATCGGTATTCACTGTGTTAGAGCTGTGGTGTTTAGCTTCTATCTACGAGGTTAGTCTTCTCTCTATACTATAGGACACTAGGTGTCGATTGTGCATGTTGTCTTTGTGAGTTGTTATGCTTGTATTTTGTATGTATGGAGCCAATCTGGGCTCGGAGTCATTATGGAATCGGGTTGATATGGACCCGATGGAGCCGATCTGGGCTCGGAGTCAATATGAACTCGAGGTTGATACGTTCTCGGGGTTGTTACGGACCCGATAAAACTATGTGCTGTTATATATGTTGTACGCCAAGCTCTCTAAGTGTGAGTTATAGTTGCGTAAGGTTCAGTTTCTGGGGAACCTCGTCAACCAGAACGGTATCTTGGTTGACCCGAACAAGATTGAGGTGGTTATTAAATGGGAGTTTCTGAAGTCCCTATCAGAGATTCAAAATTTCCTTGGATTGGCTGGTTACTACAGGAGATTCATTAGGGATTTTGTGACAACTGGAAAAATTTTGAGTCAAACAAGTCTAAAAGATTTTGTGTGCAAGTGAATTCACAATGCAGCCTTGTTGTAATAAACCTTTGAAAGCCAAAAGAGCATTGTTTGCATAAGTATATATATATATATATATATATATATATATATATATATATACACATACCTTGAAAGTCATGTCGTAATTAAACATTTAAGAGTCAAGCCAAGTCAATATAATAAGATTTGATGCATGAATTATCTCATTGAGATTTCGGTTGGCTTAGGACCACACAAGACCGAAATCCCCCACCTAGAACACCCTAAGACCGAAAACACCACCCTAGAACCCCACTAAGACCGAAATCACAAGCTAGGAAGGAGCTAGGACCGAAATCACATGGACCTTGGTGATATACAAGGTGATTTCGGTCATGCTTGGCCGAAATCACCAATTTGAAGTCCTCACAAAGTGATTTCGGCTGGAAAAGTAGATAGGAGTGTTCACTTTATGATTTAGATGCTTTCATCTTTTCCCATGCAATTTATATCCAGCAGATATCCAAGTAATTAACCAACAGTTATCAAAGTAAATATCCTATCATCTGTAGTCTCTTTATAAGGGCCGAATTCACCTTCCACAAACTTCACCATTTCCATTATCACTTGTTGTTAATTCCATTTCCCCTCAAATAGCCAAGTCCAAGCTTCTAGTTCAACATTCTCCAAGCATTATCCTTAGATTTTTGGTAAGTATTTTCGAGAATTCCTAGCATTCTGTATATTTTTATGTTAGTTTCATCTTATTTACACACACTGAAATGTGTTAAAACCCTTATGATAACAATACTCTCAAGGAAGTTCATCAACCCCATTCAAGTATTTAAGTTTGGAATCTTCACATCATCTCTTCAAACAACCCACAAATCTACTCAAAGTGAGTTCATACCCCCACATTTTCAAGTTTTTCATGTTTTAGGGGGGGAGGATATAAGTAAAACTTTGTTTATCACACAAAATCTTACATCTTTTCATCTTTATGTTAAATATAAGATACTATTTGCATAAGATATAGTTATCACTAGATTTTACACAAATACTTTCATGTTTTCATCCTTATGTTGAATATAAGATATTATTTGCATAAGATATGTTGTCACTAGCTTTTGTACAAATATTCGTGATATATTAGTTTCCAAGTGCAAAACTAACAAGAAAAAAACAAGATCTAGGTTATGAAAATCATAAGGAAAATTATGATTTGTTAAACTACAAGGTTTATGAAGCTTTTTACTAAAATATAGCTTTTCTAACAAAAATGATTACATTCTAGTTATTTCACTATTTTGTGGGTTACAACCCAAAAATATGATGTTAACTTTATATTTTGAAACTAGACAAGATATTTATTATGTATTTATATAAATGTTCATATAAATGTTCTTGACAAACAAACATGGTAAACTATAATTGGTATAGTTTGGGAGTTACAAAACTATACTACCATTTCAGAAGAAACCTATAATTATTTAAAGGTATAATTATTTCATTTTTAAGAAAACGATTTTCAGTACAATGACGTAAACCAGTTGATACAGACTTGTGACAATTTATGCTTCATCATACCTACCAGAGTACACAACTAAGACCAGCATTATAACCAGAGTCTCTGGGAGGGAGAGCGTGACACTTGCGTATAGATCTATATGGGATTGACAAACCCGCACCTAAACTGTTAGCTACAGTTAGACCGGCAGGTCTGGGGTGACAAATGTCGTAAATAGTTCCGACGTCCGAAGCGCGTCGTTCAGACAACCAGTCGCATTAGTATGGTTATAAATAACTCATTAGAGTATTGACAAAAAATTGAGTTTCTGGGCTAGC